GAGAGAGAGAGATTATAGGCTAGGGAGTTAAAGAGAGGATGGGTGGTGGAAGACGGGGTTGATCAATGCATGAGACTCGAAATGCACTAGTGATCTTATTCTTCGGTACCAAGGTAAAAGAAACTCGATTCCATATTGGTGGAGGCTCGATCCTACCTACCTATGGACCCATGATGTGGATGAGAGGGATTTGGATCCCATTAATCAGGGATCTAAATCTCCAATGTTGAAGATCGAGAACCCTAAATTAAAAAAAAAGGAATCGAGATCCCTCCTAGAGCGCAGGATCGAGCTTCCAGAGTTGGAGCGACCCCCTTCTTAGGAGGTCCCGGTAACTATGGCATGTACATTGTATTGACTGGCCCATGAAACTTTGTGGTTTATGTGCTCAGTCCATTGAGTGCGGCATGCTCTTGGCTGTAATACATTAGCAATGTCTAAAGGTCTTGTGATGTTCTTTAGTAGAGTTCCATTTGTATTTTGATGATCCTATTGTAACCAATGGGTTCCTGGTTTCCTTTGGTTACCCTGTAAAAGTTTAACTTAGTGACATCAACAATGGTGGCAACAATTCCACAAACATCTGGGGCTCTTTCCTTTGTTCAGGTACGATAGTTGTTAAGATGTCTTGAGGGCTTCAATATTCACATCCTTATTTCAAGTGTATGGTGTTCGATCCCAACTCAGGGCATTGATCAATGCATGGTTGTTGGGATCGGGAGCGAGAGCTAGATCAGGAGCTTTGAATTGTCAAAAGACTAGAAGATCCCTATGGTTGGGAAGCATTACAATGCTATACTTTTTTGGGATCTTTCTTCCAACCTTAAAGAGTATATATAGTCTGGGACTATATATAATCTTTAACGTAAGGATCTCTTTATTTATGGCCGGGGAGCAATGGAATTATATTAAATGTATAGTTGCATTCCTAGTTGGCTATAAATAAGGAAAATCACTAGTTTAGTCGTTATCTTGGTCTTTAAAGTGGGGATGGGGATTGAGATCCCTTGAAGATCCCTTTCACAAGTGCTGGAGCAATATTCCAGAGTGGGATCACCACCTAGCTTGGGAGATTTTATAAAATATGGATCAATGTCTCTATACCGCTATCCTCATTCTCCAAAACTCTGATTGTTCTTCCCTTGCGATGAGAGTTACATAGTGACTTTGATTGCCAATCACCACAATGTTTTGCCTTTCTTACTCTTGCTCTATGATGCATAATGCATTAACATGCCTGCCCATTCTTCCCAATTATATTTGTATTTAATGAAATCCGACATATCTTTCAACTGCCGTCCTGCAAAAGGACAAAGACTGGGTATGTTGTTTTCCTTCTAATGTGAACAATTGTCGAATAAATAAGATCAATGATCCAGTTAGTAACTTGGGTACAATCTTCTAAATCGTATGTTGGTTCCCTTCTCTGTGCCACCTGTCTCCCAAAATCAACATATCTTGCCATTACGTTATGTGGTCCGTAGACTTAATTTTCTCAACCATGTCCTTGATGATCTCCAGGCACCTGAGGCATTTGTTTTTTTTCTGCAATTTTGGGTTTCCTTTTGTACCGATCTTCAATAATACTTGCCCTTGACTGCCTCCACAGCGATCTGATCTCTGCGATGTTCTCTTTAGATTTTTTTTTGTATTTTTGTTTTTTGGTAATTAGCATTTCATTAAACACAATGTAGTGCAGGCAAGTAGATATTTGTACCACATAAAAACAAGAGCTACAAAAATGCTAGACAGCTAGGCAAAATGGGATAATATGAAAGGATGTCCTCCCCGCCAAGGGGCCGCGGGGGGTTTTGAGGGGTGATTAAGAGAGATTGATAAAGGAGAGAGGGGGAAAGGGTGTATTAGGAGAGAATCAAGACATAAAAGTCTACTCTGAGTAATGGATAAGATCTTGGAATCTCATGGGAGCCAAAGAGACCTTCCAATTATCAAGAAATATCTTTGAACATCTTTCCATAACCACAAGTTGTTCTTTTGAAGTGTGTATTGAAAGGAAATTGCCCCCTTGGAAAGGAAATGACCCCCTTGACAATGGCTGTGGCCTTGTCAAGAATATTTGCCAACCTCCACGATTGTGCAGTTCCCCATAGATTACCTGATGACTTGAGGGAATTCCCTTCCGCCAAAAGTGGTTTGGAATCCACTGATGAAAAGTCCATAGCCCAGTGAGAATAGCAGGCTTCTGCATCCATCTGGTTGCACAGCAAAGAAGCGTGGTGTAGTCCCTCCAAATATCACCCAACTCCCAAGGTGCTGAATTCCTTTGGGAAAACATGGGAGATGGCTCTCTTTGGGCATGGGTCTGGAATATCTTTAAGATTCCAAAAGACTCACTTGGAGTCTATTGGTTACATGGATCTGTAACACGGATGCTTCAAAAAATCCTGGTTGTTGAAACCCCAAAAAATCATGGATTCTTGGATATATTCAATGGCTGAAGCCCTATTAGTGGATGAACCTCCGAAAATCATGATGCGTGTTCAAGAAAAATCCCAAAACTCACTAGAGGGCACATCCTCCTTATCATATGATCTCAAGGTGTACAATCTGGAAGGTACCACTCATTAAAGCTGCCACTCAACGTTGCTCCACCCAATGGGTCCTGGACAACTTGAACAAGAAGCTCCTAACAAAACTGGAACAGGAACTTTGATGCAGATGGTCCACTGCATCATCTGCCTCAATATAGAGCTAAAGTTGGGAAATTGAACACCTTGATGCTGGAGGTGATTACCATTTATAACTTTATGGAGAGATGTGAACAAACCAAATACCTCCAATTTGAGTGCAAGGGGAGGAACCCATACCAAAGCATCTAGCCATCTTGACCTTGAGTCACCTTGGGGAGCTCTTGCAAGAGACTTTCCAAAGAAGGAACCAATATTATTCCACCTCCAAATCCTTCTAATGACCCTAACGCTGAGAGATAGAAAGAGATTGGAAAATCTAAAGGAACAAGCCAAATGTTGATTTGAAATTTCTAAGTCTCCTAGATGAAGGATGCCACACCACACATTCCCAACAGACTTCAGGACAGTCACTATTGATTGTGGCTGAATGGCTGATATGCTGGCTTACATATAATTTGGAATATCACATGAGATTTTGATTCTTTGTGCTAATGTAGGTGCCATTCTCGGCATTTTGTGTTTTTGCTTTCGTGTTTTAACATTACTTTTCATAAAAGAAACCATTATTTGCTGTTATGTAGTTTATAGGAGGAAATGCAATCGTTTGCCTGGGAGATCAGTTCCTTCTCTTTCTCAAACTACTTGTGGACACAAAAATGTTGCCTGTGAGCTTGTGTGTCTCTAGGGACCATATAAGATGTCTGTACATTTATGCATTTTAATTTCTTTCATGATTTATTTCTCATGTTTGTTCTGAGTTTGTTTCACTGTTATCTGATGCTGTGCTCTCCGGAAATGATTGTTTGATAGATCAAAGGTGATATTAGAAGATCAGTGTATGGCGCTGTGGTCAGATTGCTCCAGGACAGTGATCTGGCAGTTAGGGTACGGTAGCTTTTTTATCTACGAGTATGCTGGGTATTTCAGTTTCCTTCAATGCTTAGCATTTCATCCTGTATGTTTCTTCTATTTTAAAGATTGATAAATATCTGTTCTGGTATTGACTGATGGAAATCATCTTCTTTGTTGCAGCTTTCAGCAGCTCGATCTTTGTTCTATCTTATTGAGGATGCCAATTTTTCAGAACAGGACTTTGCTGACTTCCTCCCTACTTGTTTGGAGCTATGTTTTAAATTAATTGAAGAAGTCCAGGAGTTTGATTCAAAGGTCAGTTTCTCAAATCACTTTCTCTGGAAATAGTGGAAACATGCGTCAGTTTCTTTTTAGACTTTACATAGGTGATGTCATGGATAGATATGTTTAATTCAAGTGAAATGAGTTACAAGATAGTTTGAGTCTAACTAGCTTGTTCTCCATGACCTGCGAGCTACATAATGTTTTAGTGCAACTAGCTTGTTCAGTCAACTAGAGTCTTCTTATTGATGTTCATGTTCCAAGCATTCAGATGTCAAGAAATGTGATAATGCCGTTCTAGAAGGGAGACTCTGGTGAGGTTTGGCCAGTTCAGAGGCTGAAGCCCCAATCCAGTAACTTTAGTTAAATGAATGCTTTGTGTCATTTGATTCAGTGTTGTATTAAGTCTTTGTTAAGATCTTTTCTTTTACTGCCAAAACAAATAAACACCATCCGGGAGTAATAACCAATCTTCTACTATAATTTTATATACAAAATATGTTTATGGAAATTGACAAAAAATATAAATATAATTGAAAAATAATTAAATCAATTGGGAAGACTTACTAGATGATGCATGGAGGTATCCTCACAGGGCTCGATATGCCGCATACCTGAATCCCTGACTGATAACACGCTTTTGATCCTTTAGGTATTGCTTAAATTTCTGAGATAGGGAAGCCTTTCATGCAATATCTTTCAATCGAGGACTTTAGAGAGCATAGGAACCTATTTGGGGTTTGTAGGAACCCTATAGGATCAAATTAGGGCTAGGCTTGATGGCTTATTTCTCTCTTGGTTGGTTGTACCTCTCCTTTCCTTTAAAAAAATGGCAAAGTTCTTACCCAGGGTTTCAAAAGTGTCACCTTGTTTTGTGTGACCCTATGGAGCAAAGGGGAGAAAGAGATGTGATTTAAAATTTGAGAGATAGAGAAATATTGGGGCGTGGAGGAATGACAGAGACATTTGTTTCTTGGTGTGAGAGATTTAGAGGTCTCTCATGATGTGTGAGAGATTCAAATAGTATTTAAATAGAAAGAAATCTTTCTCCCACTTGGAATATAATTTCTTCTAGGTACGCCTCATCTTATTTACTTAGCTTGACCATTAGGTTATTAGGAAATCTGTGGAGCGAGAGAGATTAAATCTGAGCCATTCATCCCACAAAGCCATTCATCACACAAATCGGCCATCATGATTTTGGGTGAAAATTTAGTATCTTATCCACTTATACTTTCATCCAAGTCCAATATCTATTTAAATTTGAATTATAATCACTTTTAATATTATCTAGATCTCCCAAAATCTATAGAAAATCAAAGATAATCATTTTATTTTGGTCCAAAAACAAAACTTCGACTTGAATAGGGAACAAATCTATTCAATTTTAAAAGATTCCCCAACTTATAAACTTTTAACTGAAAGTGGCTCATAAAAACAAAAATGTGGGCGTGCCACTGTATGGACTATATGTGGGCCCCACAAGGCACACGTCCCACTAATGGGTGTCACACACATGTGGGATTGGATCCTTGGTCCCCCCATGTGCCCTTCCTAGTTCTGAAAATATAAAAAATACATTTTTAATTGAATTTACAACAGAAATAAAATTTTAAAATTCTAAAAAATTAATAAAAATCATAAAAACATTTGTAATATCAAACTAGAATATTTTGGAATTGGACTGGAACCAATGAGTCAAAATGAACGACAATAAGGGCACTTCACTTGACCTAAGAATCACGATCCACTACCGTTTTCTTATCCAACACAACAAAGGCCTATGACCTACAGTCTCAATGTAGGGGCTCATGATTGGCTTGTCAAAGTTGGTGAATAAATAGTGGAACCATGATGTTGGAATGTAGATTTCAGTTCCCTCCTTTAAGAGCAAGTCTAGCACTTGTCACCACAACGCAGAGGGGGCTCTTTATACATGTATACACGTATTCCTTTGTAGAGTTGTTTCCCAGTAATGCGGCTATCATGTATACATGCCGTGTAGAAGTTTGTTGAAGCTTTTGCCATTGCTCTCATAGGCTTAAAACGGCACATAAGAGATTGCAAAACATTCCTGACCTACAAACATCATCCCTGGGCATCTCTCCAACCTCAACAAGGGATGACCCATTGCAAACCTTTCTCAGTAGTGCCACATGCCTAGGGGTAAGGGTTTTGGACATAACCAAGGTCAAAACTGCCCAACCCATAGTTAGTCAACGCACACACTTCCACTGAAGTGCATATTCGACTATGAAGCATCCTTTTTACAAGTTTTCTAGGCCTTTAAAGGCTACAAAACCCAATACTGTCCAGAAATTAGAATGTAGCCTTCTCAGTACAAATTTAGGGGCATGCACACGCGCGCACACACACACACATAGAGGGTCTGATTTTGAGCCACTATAAGGTATAACATAGCTGTAATATTTTTAGGCAAAAAGAACTTTGTGAAGGGATAGCCAATTGTGGGTACACGTATTCAATTCTGATATAGTTTCATAGAATGAATGAACTACAAAGTGTTAACAAGGGTAGAAAAAAAAAACCATAGCTTTAACATTCACATCATTCTGAATCCCTTTGGTTTGCTTTTTCTTGTCGTATTTTCAGGTCCAAGTTCTAAATCTCATCTCCATAATGATTGAACGTCTGGGAGGACAAATCATACAATTTGCTAACAAACTGGTTGGATTTTTTGAGAGGGTAATTTTGCTACCTCTTCTTGTTTGTGTGATTCTTTCAGTTTATTCTCATCTTGGTTTGCATTTGTGTGCATTGATATCTACTGATGAATTTTGGTTGGTTCTCTAGCAATTATTATCATAAATGGTTGTGATTGGTATTCCTGTGTGATGTTCTACCTATTTTTGGTTCTGAGGACATGACTGTTTTCCTTGGAATATGTGGGAGGACCATCTTATTAAGGTGAAGACATTTTATGAACTTGTTTGTCCTATTCTTCCTGAGTAAACTAAGATTTCTTTCGGTTTCATTTGTCCAGCTCTGTGAATGGTTGCAATAAGACCCAAGCCCTGGTTCTTGAATTACAGGACAGTTCTGAGTTCTTGGAACAATCGCACGGTATTTTTTTCATCTCGGGAGAATGACAAAATGGGAAAGAACTGCATGGGTAATTGACAAGATGGGTTTAAAGGGACCTCTCCAATGTATAATCCCAAGTTGGAAACAACTGAATTTGAATGTGAGCTCAAGTACCAGATTTTGGGCCCCTGATTTCAACACCTTAGTGCAAATTTGAATCTCCACCAGTGGTCTTTACGAATTGTTGTAGAATCTAGAACCTCTTAGATGTATGAGTATGTTGCTGCTATAAAGTTTCAGTCAGATAGGCTTTTTCCTTATTAGTTTTCTTGAATTGGTGGGGGTGCTATCCTATAGGTCTGCAGAAAGTTCTGCAGTGCAACCATGTCTGCGCGAATCTTCTACTTCTGATTGGAAGCTTTGTGGACTTCAATGCTCCTGCAATACTCAAATCTTATTTGTGATTATCTTGTTAAAGGAGAAACAAGAGGAAGTTGTTGCATTTCTCATGCCAATCTCTTTATATTCTAAAGAGTATCGCAATTGGAGAGATTGCCATTGTCCATGTGTATATTACAAAAGCGATACAAAAATTACAAATGTCCCTACATTCTAAACACTCCAAATTGGATTCTACATATTTCTTGGTGATTCTCTTATTTCTTTCCGCAATATGAGAGATTGAGTATGTCTCATGGCTAATAATATAGATGTTGATTGCCATAAGAAAGATTTTTCAGTTATAGTACTGGTTACCGGTTTCCATTTTATTATCCTATTCAGGACAGATGGCTTATTTGTCTATCAAGTAATTTTGCAGGGAGAGAATTAAATGAATAATATGTTCTAATTTCTGTTGATGCTTCAGTTTTAGGGGAAGCCTATTTCTATGAATTTTTGGTGTGCATAATAAGGGACTTTCTGTTGTTGTCTCTTTTAGTTACACATTTACCTTGAGGGATTTCCAGTTCATTGTACATTAGGAACAATGGGATTCATTCCCCTACTGCTGATGGATGGTATCGTCAAGGGCTGCTTTCATTCAAACCTTGCACTTAATAAAGCCCAGCATCTGCAACCTTCTGTGGGGTGCTTTAATGTAGCTTTCGGGTGGTAAGTTCAATATTCCCTGAGTTCTTACTGGAGGCTTTGGACTGTTGGAAATTCAGTGATCTACATGGGTATTTGCTTTGGTCTGTACAAATACCTTTTGGCGGCAGTTGAGGTAGCTTTGGATGAAAGGAACAATCTTACCTTTTTCCTAGAATTTTGTGTTTGAGGGCGTTAGGCTTGCAGCAAATCTATAGAAAACTGGACCTTATTTTGTAGTGCTAGAGTGTTTCTTTTTTTCTCTTCTTTTTTTCTTTTTTTTTGGGGAAGGGGGGGGGGGAGGAGGGGCAGGGGAAGGGCTTCGTAGTGCTTGAAGTTGTTTGTAGTTTAGTGGTACAGCAGATCCAGAGAGCATGTTGCATCTCATGGTATGTTCCATCTCTTGTCGTGTCATCAAATATCAATGCAGGTAGTTGTGTTGTCGTTTATGGGTTCCCTGGCTTTGGTTCGTCAGAAATGAAGGTGACATATGCTGAACATAGGACTGGGATCAGGATAGCAGCTCCTCTCTCAGTACTAATTGTCAGATGGATACGTTGGGGGCCCAACTTCATAGTTCCTGATATATAATTCCCTAGAATTTAACTTAGAATTAATCTAATGGAAGGAGCACATCAAATTACATGACAGAAGTGAGTCTATTGTGTTCTCTTATATAGCAGGAGGTGTCCAACACCATGGATGCATTGCTTTAAATCCTTTCTTTTATAGAAAACCCGAGTTATAGGATGCATGCTCTGGTCATGCCATTTGTTGCTTTACCATCTAGGACATATTTATCCTGTGATAGTTTTATATGTATGCTATACAGAAACTGAGCTTATGTTCATTGTGCAGTTTATATGAAAAATACTTGTATTCTTATCAATTTCCTTAGATCGGTTTTTCATATGCATTCTAGCTATTGGATCATTTTCTTTCTTAGAAGTCACCAGAAAAATAATAACCTGCATTAGATGAATGTGTTAGCAGTCCAGTAGGCACTTTATCAAATGTGATGCTTTTGCAATCGCACATTATTCTCAGTGGTCACAGAGCACTTGATAAATGCTAGAATGTAAATAAATTGGATAGTTTCTTTGATCGTGTTTCTTAGACCCTTTACTTGTCTCAATGATTTCAATGCTTGACAATTTGGTGACATGCAGATTAACCAATTACTTAAAAAATACCACCACAAAATGCCTCTCTTTAGTGCACTAATTTTCATGGTTTTGATTAGGTATGGGAGGAATCTTCTGGTGAAAGTCTGCTACAGATCCAAGTTCTTCTTGCCCTAAGAAATTTTGTAGTCGCGCTTGGTCCGCAGTCACCTATGTGCTATTCTATACTATTTCCTATCTTGCAACGGGGCATCGATATAAACAACCCAGACGAGCTAAATCTCTTGGAAGATAGTATTGTCGTAAGTTATTTATCCTATTAAGCTGTATACTCTTTGTTAATATATATTTCATGTGACATGAAAGTGTTGGCAATTGTGCAGCTTTGGGAAGCCACACTCTCGCATGCCCCTTCGATGGTGCCAGAACTATTAAAATTTTTCCCCCATCTATTTTCAATTATGGAGAGAAATTTTGATCATTTACAGGTTAGCTCTTCCTGTGCCATAATTATTTGACCCATCTAGCATAGTTTTGTATTTTTTTTAAAATACCTTAATAGAATTGCTGACCTCTTACTTTGCATACCCTGAAATTGTAAAATTGTAATTCTGAGTGGACTGTGATTTAACTTTTCCTCTGCGGCATTGTGATTTGTCAGTTATGCGATCTTTTTGACATTGTTGGCCATGCTAAAAATATACCTCCGTCCAAAAATGTTTTTAAAAATGACTAATGGGTTCAATGAAACAGACCACGGCTTGGATGCCAAGCTCGGGCCCCTGGTAGTCTGAGTGACTCAGGCGAAGTCAAGTCGATTTGCCTGAATCCACACCGAGCCGCCCAAACAGCCAAAAAGATTAAAAAAGAATGGGAAAATTCGGCAAAAAAAGGAGGAATAAATTAAAAACGACCAACACATAAAAAGTATATAAAAGATGAGAAAGAGGTTTTGAAAAGATAGAAAAAATAGACAGCTGGTTAAATATCGTATTCTCAGAAAATTCTCAGGAAAAATGATAAAAAAATAAAAAAGATTCAAAATCATAAAAATAGACAGCTGGTTAAATATTGTATTCTCAGAAAAATTCTCAGGAAAAATGATAAAAAAATAAAAAAGATTTAAAATCATAAAAATATCTACACAAAATCAATCAAGTTGATTTAGTCAAAGACTGAATCTTTTATAAATTAATTACATTAACAATAATTGTATTATAAATACCTGAAGTTGGGAGTGTTCCTGACTCAGCAGCCTGTCAAATAAGAGTAACTCGGGTGTGTCCCAGTTTGTTGCCTGAGTTTTTTAACAGTGAGTATTGCCATTTCCTTTGGAGTTCTTTACATTGTCCCAAAATTGATAATTTTTTTTGGCTGCCACTTTCATTGGATTAATATTGTATCTATATACTGAATGTCGCCTTACATACATGAATTTGTTGCTATGCCTACTTATACAGTGATGTCGTATATAAGTTTTTAGTTTTGTATGCTTTTGTCACTAAAATTTCAATTTGCATTAGAGGTGATGCATGGAAACGTACTTTTGACCTGCACAGGTTGTTGGTGTTTGGTTATTATCATTTGTCATCGACATTCCACATTCTTGAATACAGGTAAAATCTAGTTGTACTAGCTTGTAGCAGAGCCTTAAATGCTGTGTCTAAGCAATACTCAACAGATAGTGCTACTTGGGATTTTGAATTGGGTGAAATAGATGGAAAGTTGATGAGAAGATTTGTGGTGAAACTATCTTTTCTGAATTAGTAAATTCTCTGGAACATCAACCTAGTAAAATCTTCTTCAGAAAAAAAAGAAAAAACAATCTAGTAAAATTTATAAAATCGTAGCAAACACAAGCATTTTTTTTTTTTGCTAAGTTGGTGGGGGTTTGAGTGGGTACTTTACCCTTTGCATTAATATGATAAATGACTATGCTTGTATACACACACAATAAAAGTCAATAGCTCTTAAGAGCTTTCTATGTACAGGTATCAGCACTACAACACTCACTCTGAGCTCTCGATGTGTGGAAGAAAGTTCATATCTCTCATAGATAAATATCTTGCTCTCAGTCCTTTGGAGTGGTATATTCGTAATGCTATTTTTTATTTTCCAAGTTATTTATCTCATCACCACTTGAATGAATTGATTTCGATTTTCTTTCGCCCTCTGGTTCCTTTCTTGTGAAGTTACCCACATGATGATAAGGAGAGCTACCCTCCACATTTTATCAAGGAACTTGATAGAAAATTACTTTTTGAGCCAATTGGCTTTGAGGTCTTGGGTGCATGAAGCAACCATCGAGCGAGTATTGAATCTCCACAAACCTATTTGGTGAATGTGATGGGCAAAATTGCAAGCAGTGAACAGTTAACCTTCTCTCAAAAAAAAATTGGAAGCAGTGAATAGGTGGTCATGATTCTCACTTTCAGATTTGTACATGTAGCATGTGTAGTATTGAATCTCCACAACACTACTTGGTGAATGTGATGGAAAAAATTACAAGTAGTGAATAGGTTTTCATGACTCACTTTCAGATTTGCACATGTAGCATATGTTGTCTACTTGAAGACCCAGCTTTTGGACTCTATCGTTTGTGATAAGCCTATTTTGGTATGCCAACCAAAAGAACCATAATGCCCTGGGAGGAATCAAGTTTTTCCATATGACCTGTAGGATATTGTTTCTAATTCCATGCTCTCGAGTTACTTTGTGGACACTGAGGGAGAAGTATCGATCTTGAGAGGGAGTCAGGCTGATCTCTTCAACCCCTTCACTGCACACTACTCTTTTGGGATTGTTCATCTATGATAGATAGGGTTCTATGGATGCCTTCTTAAGCCTATGAATTTCTACTTGTAATCCTAGAGTCCCTCAAGTGCCATTCTTAATCAATGATGAAAGTAGAGAGCCTTCCCCACTGACCATAGCACGCATATACTATGGGAAATACATTAGCAGTATGTATACATGCTAGGAGGCCAAGGACTCTAAATGTTTGGTATGTGGGTTTTCTTTTTTTCATTATTGATGCATGCCATCTCTGAGCAGTAGTGCAAAGATTGTGAAAACGCAAATAAAATTTACTTGATTTTGCTTGACATGACTACTTATAGAGGTGAGAGAAGTATCCAAAAGGTCACACAATTTAAGCAACCTGCTGTCAAGCTTTGTTGCCTGCCTGCGGTTGTACTAGAAATAGCAGTGTTAAGGAAATCTCAATAACTGTTTACGTTTTTCTTATTGTTACCTATTTATAGTCCAAAACCCTAAGAAACTCTATCTCGCAATGACAGTTTTACCCGTGACAAAGAAAGTTATTCTGCCATTAGCAAAAAGACAAAACTACCAATAAACTTGCACCAAAAACTTAGGCTTAGTATTCAGATCTTTAGAGCTGTTTTCTGGCTAAACTTGCTGGGAAAAAACCTGGGAAGTAGGTCTTAGCACCATAGAACTCTGAAATCCATGTTTCAAAAGCAGTAATACTAATAGAGTATGATGCACAAGCAAAACGTTAGGGCCATTGGAAGGTGTTGCGCTCCAACCGTTTACATCACATTTGCATGCAACTTTGGATGCTTCCTTTGGCAATACAAGATCCTAGGTGTCTATGTTGTATTAGTTCCTCGTGCATAGCCCACCTCTAGCATGAGTGCTCAGCTGCCTGTTGATAAGACATAGGAATGGGAGCAATATCCAAGAAAGCTACACATGAATTACGTGAGTAGCTGAGACAATCTGGGGGATGAGAACTATGAGATGAATGCCATACAACTATATCGGAAGCCATGTTCATATAGTAGATACTTGGGGAGGATTTGAAACTAATGAAGGTTAGAGGTACCACAAATGGGACAACGGTAGGATTTGACACTGATGAAGGATTAAAAGGTTCCATAGATGGGATACCTCTTTACTTTCTGGAGTAGGTGTGAGTGGCTGCATATGGTTAGTATCAGAAGATGTAGATAAGAAATAGAAAAAGTCAAGAAACATGTGAGCCCTATCTGATGATGGAGAGATGTGCTAAGATTGTAAATAACACATGTTCAAGAAAGATAATTTTCTCCCTTGCAAGAGCTGTATTGTCTATTCCTCATAGGTTCATAACATCTGTACTCCATCTAAGTGTCACAGTGTCCCATAAATATGTGTTTGACAGTTTGTGTTGGGGTTTTGATGCCGGGGAATTCGAGGGAACAGTAAAATCAGCAAGAAAAAAACCAAACACAAGCACAATTTGAAGAAACCTAGGGTTTCTTCTGCATACCCATAGCTAGGTTTTTAAAAGCCTAAGCTTTTCTCTCTTTCAATTTTTTAAAATCATGTGGAATTACCCCCTCAAGGTCCCACATACCTTTTATATGTTATAATTAATGTTTCAAGTACAAAAAGTGTTCCAACAGATAAAACATTGACCCATATATCCTAACTTAAACTTAAAATTCGTAATTACAATTTTGCCCTTGTGAACAGTACCCATGACTAGTACACGTGAATAGTACTATTCACATAGTACTCGTGAAATAAATTAAAAAAATATCAAAATCCTAGAATTCCTAAAACATTAAAAACCCTAAAATTAAAACTGTTCTCTACACACTTCAGCCCTCCCTTTCTCCTTCTCTTTCTCTCTAGCTCTCTCTCTCCTCTCTATGTGGCACACCACCCCCATAAGGTCATTGGGCTCGCATGCACCACTCAAAAAAGGAGAGAGAAAGGGACGCCTAGCCGTAGTCTCTTTGGAGTTATTGGCCTTTATAGCCTGTGAGAGCATGTGAATAATAATAAATACAGTGAATGGTATACTTCAATGGGTGTGTATAATTGGGTGACTAACCCAAGGTTAGGTGGTCTATGGCCTGGGTCATATCCAAAAACCCTTGGCCTTGGGCATGGGCACTACCATTGAGAGTTTGTAGTAGGTTATCTCTTGTTGAGATCAGAGAGATGCCCAAGGATGGTTTGTGGTCTAGAAGAGCTCGTGGTCTCTTGTGTGCAGTTTTTGGCACTACCATTATGGATCCTTGCATGGTGGAGTGCCTTGACAGTCACTTATATTTTTACCACCTCAAATATTTTTAGCTTCAATTATGATTATATAATTTTTTTCTAATGTGAAAAACCTAGAAGGACAAAATTGATATTTTACAATTTAGTAGGGGCTTGAGTTTTATGCGGAATCCATGTAGGGGGGCTATGGGCCCAGCTCCCACACATCGGTAGGGCACATAGGGTGGCAAGTAGGGCCTGCAAGGGCCACACGTCCTACACACGCACATAGCAAGATACCCCTAATTGAATTTAAAATACATTTTTATTATTTATAGAATTCTAATTGAATAAGGAGACATACTTGGACCAGGACTCTTAGTTTGACCAAAACGCTTAATAAAATATTATTTGTAGAGTCCTAAGCAAATTAGAAGTCTAGAAGTGAATATGGGTCAAAATATTCATGGGATTAGGTTCCTAAAATTCTTCCTAAATCATGGTGGCTCATCTCAAGGATGGATGGCTCAAATTATTTCTCTCTCACCTCGTAGATTACCTAAATATTCTTTAGATATTGTTAGAGTCCTGATTACTATATGTTTCTAAAGTAGTAGGTTCGAGTTCGTTTTTCAATAAAGTTTTTCTGAAAAATTTTCTATTTCAAAGATCCTAGATTGTAGCATGTTTTAACTTCTATTTCTTCATTATATTGTGGCAATTGTAAGTAGAAATAGAAATTCCAACTACTAATAAAGTAAACAAATAAAATTTTTCAATTTATACTCTCGAATTCTACACAGCCACACCTTTCAGTTTGTTAGCATGTGGTCCTAGCTTATGGCGTTCATTGTTAGAAAGTAACAATATAGCATATTTTGGCTCTGTTTAAACAAGTGCTGAAATGGTCATGTCCATGTTGGGTTTTGGAGCGAATAGGGAGGAGGGGGATCGTGAAAGGCTAAAAAATCCATATGGTTGGGAGCATTGTTCATACAATGCATATGTTAGGGATCAAGGTCCCTAAATGTTAGGGATATTGCTCCTGAGCTTTTGGAATCTAGATCACACCCTTTTGGGGATCTTGCTCCTAACCTTGAACAGTTTTATAGTCTAGGACTATACACACTTCCTTTGAGCACATTGACTTCTGTTTCATTGATTTCCAATGAGAATTTATACTCTTCTTTTCTAAAAAATGCAGCTTCTTTAGAGGCTAACCATGTTTACAAAGAGGAAATTGGAACTTTTCATTTTAGAATCTGGGAGAGGCTGATCATCATGCTATTCTCAATGTAAGGGACTAGAGAGAGAACAAACCTTGTCGTTCCAGCTCATGTATAGTGCTCTCATGTTTGGTTACTTGTTTTACACGGGGAAACAGTAGTGAGTGGCAAAAACATGTCAGATGAATTCCATTGTCAAATGTTGGGTTGATCATAATTACTATTTCCCTGATGGCAGTCTACAAAACAAATGCGTGATTGTATGGTTTCTTCCCATCTTAAGTGTGGGACCTATATACCATTGGGATGGTTAGAAGGGCCTAGGCGACTTAGAGATCTTACGTATATTGTTTGATACTTGACCCAGACAGAGACAAATAGTGGGATCATCTCTCATTATGTTGAGGCTCGTAAAATGAGTGCGGGAGGCTTCTCTTTGCATTTTTCATGCATGACTTTATCTTTGCGAAGGAAATTGCATTTCATTTTTTTCTCACACTGTCTTCATGCTCCTTTTTTTTCAATGCTTTAGTCTTTTTTTTGGTGAATGATGCTTGGGAAGTTCATGCTGTTGGGATACTTTTCATGGCTAGTAGAGATAGATTTTCTTAAGAAAATTGAGCACTTGATGACCTTTTTATGAAATTACTAAACTGCATATAAAATCTCATGTTCCTTTTGCAAAATTGAGCTTGTCTTATATAAATATCTCATTTCAGGTTGGCCTTAATATTATTGAGTGCTACATCATTTTAGGTGGGTCTGATTTCCTAAACCAACATGCTTCAATCTTGGCTAAACTCCTTGATGGTATTGTTGGAAATGTGAATGACAAAGGACTGCTTTCAACACTACCTATCATTGAACTTCTTGTCCAGGTAAATCCTCTTTTTGTTTTTGCGTCATTCTTTTCTGTTATGATTTTTAAATGTAGTTGAAATGGATGCAATATAAGGTTATTTAGTCAATCAAATATACGATGATTTTCTTTACATGTTTTTCCATCATTTGCGCTTCTTTTCTAATGTATTCATGTATTTTTCATTAGGGTTTTATCCGTCTTCTGGAGGGTTTCCTGTTGAGCATCATGCACATCTCTCTTTTCTCATTATTGCTTTTTATTCCCTGTTAATTTATTTATTGGAATAAGGGTTTTGTTTCCTGTGATATATTTCAATTTGACATCCTACCACGTGAGTTGACTTTTTCTTTTTCTTTGAAAATAACGTGAACTTGACTTACTAGCTGCTGTTATGATTGAATTACAAAGAGAGACCATTCTAATTTACATGATAGATGATCTTATTGTTACTTAACATTTAGTTGTACTTGATTTACATAAATATATTCCCAATGCATTATTAGAATATGAGAAATCCTATCTGAAAGGTAGAATTTGATTGATTTTCATTGACTGGTTGAATAGTACAATAAAGTGGCTCATCCTTTATGAACGCTATAGTTGGGATCAGAAGGCTGGAATACTCATGCCCAAACACCTATGTTCAAATATACCATTTTTCTCGCTAAGTTTGAAAGAGAGGGATGGGACGGGCTTTCATTGGGGGGATGTATGTGGTATGTATTTTCTATCCATGTAATGTATTGGTACATATCCACAGTAGTTAGTGACAATTTGACCACTAATTAGTCATCTTGTCATCTGATAAACATAAATAAAGCTACAATCCAATCCTATGAAGGTATATATGGCAAAGAAAAAACACCAAGAACAAGTCTCCTCAAATGGAGAGATACAATCAAGCCTCATATGCTCCATCTCATCATGGAATACTAGGTTGTTAGCAATCTTCATAACATTAGCATTATTGCTATAAAGAGTAGGAAAAGAGAAATACACCCCCAGGTCAGCCAACAACAATATGTAGCCATAAAACCTCATTAGAGGCAAAGATCATAGCATCAGTCTTTCTTTATCTAAAGAAAAGGTAAATTATGGAAGGAAATTGAACAAATAGGGAAAAGCCGGCTATTGAAATCGAACCGATGACCATCGCATTACAAATGTGATGCTCTAACGTCTGAGCTAAGCGGGCTGGGCTCACATAGATATCTATCTATATTATACTAGATAGATTCAGGAAAATGCTGGGATCAATTATAGCCGATTGGACTTAAGGATGCAATCCAGATCATAATGATACATCCCTACGGTTCCCTTCGTAAAGGGAGAACTCTATTATTCCACATCAAATGTACACTTATAGACGACATATATCTCTTGCTCCGCCAAGTGACAAGTGAGTCTCCCGAGAAAATACATTATCTGGATATCAGAAACCAAGTATCTAGATATGTCAGAGTCTACAATATGTGGATATTAAAAACCAAGTATCTAGATATGCCAGAGTCTAATGGGGCTTCCAAATGAAGTTTAGAAGTGGACGACAAAAACAACCCTCTACCCAGTGCGGCACAAACATATTCAGCAATTTGATTATTTACTGACATTTGAGAAGATCCATGCTATTGAACAAACTGCTCTCAATTTTGTCTGTATGGAGTGGGACCTGGAAGATCTCCATGAATGCACATGTTAAACATACCCTAGAACAGAATGGGGTTGCAGAATGTGTTATAGAGCCCACTCATGTATTACTTAATATTTCAGGAGGCTTGTGGGCCGAAGCTGTTCTGGCTTTCAATTTTGTCTGTATGGAGTGGGACCTGGAAGATCTCCATGAATGCTTGATCTATTCAGTGTTTTTCTAGGGTATGGCACTACTCAAAAGGGTCATCATTGCTATAATCTAAAATTTGATAAATCATACATTTCCAGGCATGGTTTTTGTCTTTGAAGGTGGTTTTAACTTTAGCGAGTGAAGGGTTGCCAAACCTTAGTTGTCAACTTATCTACCTCTATATCAGAGCCTCACACACCTTCTGAGTCTGGTTGAAACCCCTTATATCCTATGCTGGATGCAATAGAGTTTTGTTTGTCCACTTCACCCAAAAAAAAGTTTTATTTGTCCACCAGAATGCTTTAAGTGATGAAAGTTTCAGAGACAGACTCTCTACATATGATCCTGTCAAGAATACTGAGAAACAACATCAGGTTTCTATTGCTACTCCAAGTCGGTTGTTCTGAATTCTAGTTAAATTTCTCAACCTCCGGTTTGATATGGTTTCGCAACTCTGTTTCTTATCGTCTTGCTATTATTAGAACTCTCACTTGCATTTTCAAGCTGTTCACATACAAGCACTCAATATCTGTTGCAGAGATGCAATGCTAGAAAAATAGAATCCTGTGAACAGAGTGGAAGATATGGTTTTTAATCCCTATTGGAGTGGCTCCCATTGGGCGCAAATGGATTAAATATGTCAAAACCTTGTCTGATGGTAATGCCAGACTTGTGATGAGGGATATGTATAAGAATGTGGTATGTAGTACGAGGAGACATTTGCCCATGTTGCAAGTCCTATTTTTGGTTGCATTGTGTAGTTGGTGGTATCTTATTTCAGTTGGACGTTAAGAATGCCTATTTGAACTGTAATCTAAATGAGGATATTTATTTCAGAACCTCTGGTTTCTATCTTGTCTGTCATGTGGAAAAAGCTATATATGGCCTTAAACAAGTTCCGTGAGAGTTTTTCAGATGTGCTTCAAAGGGGGTTTATACATTATGTAATAGCACTTTATTTTCGTTTTTGTTAATATTAATAATTGATTGTTCTCAGATGTCTATGTTTTTTAAACAAATTCCTTAGTTTCAGTTCAAATGAGGGATTTGTGTTAATTGTCTTACTTCTTGGGACTTGAGATGTAGAGGTCTTTGCCCAGGAATACTGTGACTTGGCATAATTATAGAATCTTGTTGAAAGAGCACAATTGATTCATAACAAAGTTCTAGAGGCTGCTGCTAAGCTGAATATCAAATTGTCAACCTCTATTGGAGAATTTTGAAATCTCATACCATCTTGACGGTTGGTGGGCTTATTTATCTCACTATCACTAGACCAGACATTTCATGTGCCTTTCTTCTGTGCTAAGGGGGACAATTCGATACATTAATGGAGGTTGATGTTATGGATGTCCCTATTAAATTTGATTGAATTCTGATGCGTAGATTTACTGGAATTGCCAAATTAAGGTTCCCAAACCTAAGTCTCAAACTGGTAACTGAGACAAGTTGTTGATTAGGTATCTTGGATTGATTTCCCACAGAACACTGAGTCCAAAGATTGACTAATTTCAATAAAAATTTATTGATAATAGATGGTCGAGACATGCTATGATAAGCCTAGCCAATAACATGTTACGATATGAGACACCCTACTAGGGGGCTGAAAAATGACTGATTCTCATTGACTGATTGATTAATGAAATGAAGGGACTTCTACCTTATAAACAACATATGGGGATGAAAATGACTAAAATAACCATGCACAAACTCCTATATACTAATATATTCATTATGTAGGAGACTACATATGCTCCTGCATTGACATGCATGTCTTTTGATAAATGAGTTTTTTGTTTTCGAACTCGTGCATCTTGGAATTGTGAACCATCTCTGTTGGCAAGGGCCCATGGCATGCCCTTGAATTGGTTCTTTACTTCATGAATGCATTTATTTGGAACCATCTCAGTAACAAGATGTCTTTTTTCTTTTTGAAGTAATCAAGTTCCTTTCATTCACCATTTTTAGCTCTTGTGTCTTCTAGTGATCGCCATTACCTTGTTCTGTTGTGTAGCTTCTTCTGATGCAACCTACAGGCTCTTATCAGTTAATAATTTTGAATGTGAAAAAACATATGTTTTATTTCTCCTTAACTACTAGCATATCTTGGCCGTTTTCTAAGGTGATTGTGCAATCTTCACTTAGTCATGTTTGTTCCTCTCTGAAGTATGAATGGGTTAATTATTTGCAATTCAAGCTTCCCATATTTTACAGTTGGCAGTTCGTGTTCATGCTTATATAATGCTAACATGAAGTTAGTACTAAGATTCCTTTGTACCTATTTGCTCAGGATATCCAATGGCATCAAAGTTTGTACACTGACTCTTAGGGTTATTTCAGCAGGAATATTTATTGACTATTTGATTTTGTTCATATTCTTGTATGAGAGTTTTTCTGCATAATATTATTTGATGGTGATGAATATTCTAGATGGAGATTTTGTAGGGGGATGCAAATTCTTTGTTCTTGAGACCCCCTTTCATAGAGCCCGTATGGAATTCATGGAGTTTATAAAGGTGTAGGGTGCATTGATATTTATAATATGCTTATCTAGTGGCCTGCAGCTATTTTAGGAGCTCCCGCTGCCGTCTTGCTTATCTTTTATTTCTAAGACATCTACAATCATTTTGAACTGCCCTAGCTTAGAGAGTGACATGTCCTGCTATTGCCTGGAATATGCATCCTATGTTTGGCTTATCAACAGGTTTTGCACATCAGCTTTTGATGGGTGTTCGGTTGATTTTTGGTAGTCCATAACTAGCTTATGATCCAGAAAACCCCTCATATCCGTCACATGCCTATTCCACAAAACAAGTTGGAATTGGCGTATGACAGATATGCCAATCTTTTGTTTACTCGGGACACGTGCTGCCTACCTTCATCTCTCACTACATTGGCAGACCTCTGTCTCTCTCCAAGTTCTCCATTTCTCGTGTGGCAACAGATCCTGAGAGACAGTGGAGAAAAGCTCAAGGTATACTCTAATGAAATGAGTAGAAGAGGCTCAAAGAACCCAAGAGAGAGGAGGGAGAAGAGAGAAAAAAGGCTTTTAAAAAACGAGTTACAAAAGCCTGTCCTTCTCTACAGGGCAGAACCAAAGTTTTCCCTGTTTAAACTCTACATAGAATAACCATAGAGCACACCCAAAAGCCCTTTCTCGCTCTACAAAACCTGGGCCTTCTTTCTCTCTCTCAAGGGAAGAACTGGAGACTCAAAACTCGCTATTGTAAATGACCACAGGCATACAAATAAAATGTGTCTAGAAAGCGTACAAATTATATATGTTGTCTAGAAAGCCCGGGTCTTTTGAAAAAGTCGGTTTGGGTTTCAGAGTGGACTGAAAGAATAATAAGTAGTTTCTATTTTTCCCATGAATGCTTCATTTTTACGTATCCAGTCCCTTCTCATAAAGTTCTGTGTTTGGTTTAAACAGGCCATTGAACTTCAAATTGTTCTGATATCTTCTAACAGTTGGTAGTTTTTGTTGTTGTATTTTTGTGAAGTGCCAGATTTTTAATAGCTGCTTCTAATGTACTTATTTACATATTCAAGTATGATTTAATGACTCAGATATTCTATGGGGATCAACAAGGAAGTTTGTATTTAATCACTTACGATGCATTTGCAGTGCTTTCCAAGGGATGCATCACCTCTAATTGATAGAGTTCTCCAGGTACATATTCTTCAGTGATCATCTCTTGCATTATTACATCTTTTCATATTGAGTTAATGATTATTTAAATTCCTTGACCCCAATATACCTATCAGCTCACTCTATTTCTTACGTTTTTTTGCCAGAAAATGGTTGTAATATGTTTGAGTGGAGGGGAGGATCAGGATCCTTCTAAAACAGCAATACGAGCACATTCAGGAGCCATTCTAGCGAGGCTTGTTGTATTGAACACCAGCTACTTTGCACACTTGATTTCAGAAGCGTCTCTTTTGGTGATGCTTCAGCAAGGAGGGGTTAAAGTTGAGCGAAGTATACTTCTTTACTTAGTCGATGTGTGGCTTGATAAGGTATGCACAACATTAGATGTAGCAATAGGGATTTTTAACTGGTTTTGAATTTATTCTATTCATTTTCTCGCCCTTGATTTTAAATGCTCCAGGGTCTTATGTGAGCATTACTGCTTCTGTGTCAGCTTCCCTACTTATTGTTGTTTTATTCTTTACTATTGTATTTACTTTGTGAATTATTGATTCTTTGAGCTTAATCTTCTTCTATGCACCTAAAATTATTCTGAAGAATGAAATTGTAAGGAAGACAATAAAGTAGGGTATTGTTATTGGTTCAGCTTCTGAGGCTGCTTGTTTTTACGCATATTAGATTATGATAAAAAGACTAACTGCTCTTGTTCTTAGAGGTACCTTAATAGGAGGAAAAGAAATTTCATCACTAAACATAACTTCTTAATATATGCGATTGCCTGAGAGTAAGCATGCATGCAGCAAACATAGCTTATTCCCTTTATTTTCACGATGTGATTACCACATTTCTTTAGTGTGCTCATGATGTCAAAATTACATAATATGATGATTCTAAGGGTGATCTTCTACTCGCTGTTCAGGTAATGCGTCTAAAGTTGTAAGAGATTCGAATAATAATATTAATAATGATATGGATGCTCCTCTGCAGTTCTGGGTACCAGCATGCTTCTGCTGTAGAAGCAGTCATTGTTGTGGCTACTGTTCTGTTCTTATTTCTGTTTTAAGTTACCAGTGCATAGTTTGGTTTTCATCTTTCCAGTCACAGTGTTCAGATATTCTCGTTTACATCAATGTAGGAAAATTCTGTATCTAGTATAAGGAAAATGTGGTCTTTATTTATGACAAATTGGGACAGACGGGTCTACACTAAACACACATTTGATACTTCACCTTTGGTACTATTGCTGCAGAGACAAGTATGTATTTTAGAGTAGTGATTCTAATGTAATTGATCATGATAGTTTGCTTTGAGTTATATATTGCTCGTGGCATATGATATGGCAAATAACTGAGTAAGAGAGAAATTCCTTTAGTTTTTTTGTCCTAACTTCTGTAACTAAATGAACTTAACTGTTGGTTTCCAGCTGTACTATCCTTGTACTGGTAACAGGTATGCTATGTGAGAGAATATGAATATATGGAACTCCCCTATTTGAGGAACCAATGGCCAGGAAGAAAGGGGAATTAAGTTTTAATCCCTAAGTATGTTCTGCCATCAAATGTACGAACATGGAGGCCCTATTTTTCCCTTAACCATCTGGTCATGTGAATGCAGCCCATCAAATGCCTGTTATTTGGATGAATGCATCAACAGAAGTGATGTGAAGTTCCCAACCCATAGAAAGGCAATCATGAAGGGCAGGTGGTCTCCAAGGGAAAATATAGCCGTCATAGGCATGTTTCTTGTTTCTGGGTTTGTTTTTGGATTATTATTGCTAGTTGAAATTTATGGAAATGGGATTGCACGGGTTTCTCTTTGAAAGTTCTGGATTCATGCGGAAAAATGGATTCTGATGAATTTTAGGTCATTATGGGATTAACCGAAATGAGCCATGTGTCCTCGAGCAAATCATGTCAAAAAAGGGATTTTGAGGGAGTCTCTTGGTTGCTTGCAAGGATCTTTTTCTGGTAGCAGTCTGGTGATGGGAAATGAGGAGATTGAATGGCCGTGTTGTCTGGGTGGGAGAGCGGGTCAAGAAGAGGAGACAATGTTTTGCCGATGGATGAAGAGAAGTTATATACTTATAACCCAAATTTCAATTCATCAAGACGGGGGATTTCAACTTTCCGAGGCTGTGGAAGTAGCTCCTTTAGGGCGAACCACATAAATCTTGTGTTAGTGTGATTTTGTTTTTCCGCAGTCGAGTTGTTTGTTGTATTTGCCTACTTCGCATCTAACCAATTGAGCAAATGATCTTGGTTGGGATCCTGGTAACCTGATTCCACAGTTTGAGTGTTGCCAAGAACCCTACAGATATCTCCTTGTGAATTCTACTCCTTGGAGAAAGATCGGTTGTTGATTATTTAATCGATCTTTCTCCGAGTGATCAGTTGTCAATGCTTTATTGTATTTGATGATTTATAGACCTATCTTATGGATTTGGTGGAGCCAGTTATTTTAGATCATATTATGTGATTGGGACTTCATAAAGAAATTGGTTACCGGAGAAGGTCCAATCATGCTGTGTGATTTCTTTATAGATCTTAATTTTTATGCTGGTAACTAAGATCTGCTATGTCTATAGTTGAGGTAAATTCAGGAATCATGAACATTGTTGCTCACTTTTTTAATGTGATGTTATAGGTGGATTATTATTTGGTACTAAATTTAAAGAAAAACGGAAAATTTTGAAACTAATGCACCAAGATTGCGACATTATAACTTTTGCAAAAATCATCATATCAGATCAGATGTTATAAGTTGGAATTTATAGTTTTTACGGATGTTAGTAAGTGTAAAATAACTAGGAGATGAGAATTGAACCAAGATCAAATGATGCTTTTTGCCTGATTGAGAATGGAAAATTCTATATGATGCTACTTGTAAAAATGTTGCTGCCCAAGACATTTAATGGCAGCTTTGATGTCTTCTGAGGAGGTGTACAGAACATGCATTTTCTTGGGCACCTGGTCATCAATTTGCTGGATTTATTCAGGGCTTCTCTTTCATGAGCATTCAGTCTCATTTTAATATGCAATTTTGTATGGCTCCTGCAGGTTGATAATGTGGCAATTCTTCAAAAGAAGACATATGCATTGGCCCTTTCTATTCTTTTAACTTTGAGAGAACCTCAACTTCTTGACAAAGTTGATTTGATACTTAGGTATGGCGTGGAATTCAGTTCATGAAGTTTCATATCAACATTATTGCCTTCAATTGCTCTGTTTTGAGGAACCTCTTGTATTTTCTTGCAGTTTATGTGCAAGCGTTATTGCCGGTGGGACTGAAGAAAATGGCAAAGATGACTCCAGGTGACATTTCTAAGCAAGCTTTCACTCTTATTTATGAAAAATGTGTACTATGATGAGCATATGGACTATGGGAAAATCAGAGTCTTGTCATAGAAACGATACATGGTAATGGAGAGGCTGGGACCATCCATTAGGGTGCTTTTGGTGGGTCCCCACTTTGGCTGATTGCTGTCGATCGTTCCTGTTAATGATGTATTTCTTGAAAGCTTCTCTCTAATGACAAGTCCTTTGGGCCATAGTGTCTTTTCCCTTATTTTACTTTGTTTTACCATGTTGATTAATTCAGCTGATGTCCAGAAAGTTCTCAAGTACTTGACTGGTAACCAAAATCAAATTGCTAAGATTAGAACCTCCTTATATTCATGACTTGAACTTATCTGTCTTTTTTTATGAATGAATGCCAGTTCTGATGAGACAAATTCTTCTGGGTTTCACATGGAAGGCAACTCATTCATGGGTGCTACAACAAAAGAGTTAAGAAGAAGACAAGTATGTTGATGTTTAGTCTCTTTTCATGCATTAGATTTGCGATGATTTCATATCCTTTGCATGCTGTTTTATTGAGCTATTACTGTCATCAACTTTGACTTTCTATCAGATGGATATATGGTTTATTTTGACAATTAAATCAGTATCTGGCTGAGCTAGTGTGTTTTTCCCTGTTACCTTCGTGCTAATGCTCCCCTAACTCATGCTTGGACCGTATATGATGTCCAAGCATATATAAAGTGAGTCAACAAACTGTGTTCATTTGTTTAGTAATATCTGGATATGTTCTGCTTAATATGAGTTCAAATAGGGTCCATCCCATTGATTGTCTAACTACTCTAGAGTTTTAGTTGATTGGTAACTTTTCTTTTGGAGCCAGATCAAGTGTTCAGACCCAATCAAGCAGCTATCTCTAGAGAACATACTCAGAGAGAACCTTCAAGCGTGTGCTGCTCTTCATGGTGATGCTTCATTCAATGAAGCCGTTGGCAGGCTCCATCCTACAGTACTTGCACAGTTGCGACAAGCATTAAAGATTGGATAAAAATAGATTTCTTTGTAGTTGTTGGGTTTTTCTTGCCACCCACCCTATTTTTTCTCCCTGTATTTGTTTTTCTGGGGAAGGGAAAAGATTGGTAATCAGCGTTGATACAAGGTAAAAACCTCGCTTCTGGGATATGTGCAGTTTATCTAATTCTAGTAGTATTGTCTGTTACGCTTCAGCAAGTGTTGAATCCAAGTCCTAGCGTATGATCTGAGATGCGAGTTGAAACCCATTCTAGGCTTCTGATATTAGTTATAATTTTCAGGTACCATACAAGCTGGCTGCTTAAGCTTGTAATTTCCATACAAATATAAGCATTCGCAGCTGAATTGGGTGATTGGCTTCGTGTGTGCTTGCTTCGGCGTGGGAATTCACAGATAGGGATTTACAGCTTATCGGGCTCTGATGTGTCTACTGGCAAACTGGTCATTTGTGCAAGGAGTGGTGTTCTTTCGAGAGGTGAGGTTGTATTCAATGGCAATTTGGTAAAAAGGTATTTGTTGGACTCGAAATTCAAATTTTACTCCTTATGTGCATTGTTATTTTATGTGCAATTCTTTATTTCAATTTGCAATGGATTTTTTTACTTGAAGAAATGGATGCACAAAAACTCACCATTTTGAAGGTTGGAATTTGAAAAATTAGTTTATGGGAACTTTCTTCATGCACAACTATATATTATGGTTGTTGTGTGTGCGCATGTGTGCATATGTACGTGGGTGCATGTATGTGGACATACCTTCTGATGTAACATCCTCGTCCTGCTTGAGCATATTTTTTACTTCAAATCTCTGTTAACCTGTGTTGCAAGTAAATTTTGGAGGGTAATTTTTATCCTCGTCGCAGACCAATATAGTGAAACATGTATATCTTAGAAAATTAAACCGATCCCAATTAATTGGAAAAAGGTTATGATGGTGATGTATATCTTACAAAATGAAGTGTATTGTATGATGTATCATTTCATGTAAGAGGATCAACAAGCTGAAGCATTCGATTTTTCTTGCATGTTTGGTCCATTGCATTATTTATGAGGGGCATGGAAGGGTTTGAGTACAAATTTTTTGAAGGGGCGTGTGAAAGGGGTATATTATGTAAATTTATATAAAGGGTTCAAACCATATCTTATGGTATCCGAATAACCGCGAAATATCTGAATCCTTAAAAATTCAACTCCTAATTGAATTTTGTGGGTTTTAGTTTCTCTACCAAAATTTCCTTTTGCGTGCCACTCTCTTGTCCACTCATCTCCTTTCTCTGTCGAAATTTTTCTCCCTCCCTCCTCTCCCTCAACGGGAGACTCTCCGAATCTCAACGGCTCTCTCTCTCTCTCTCTCTCTCTCTCAATAGAGGTCTTCTCTCTCTTAAAAATATACAAGGGAAGCAGGAGGTTGCGCGCATGCGCCTTGCTTCTTTTGCGCAGAGCAGATAAAAAATCACTCGCTTTTGAAGAGAGAAAACCAGAGGAGGCAGAAAAATTGGTGGAGGCCAGTCAACTGGTTATTTTAGAGAGATGGGGTAGGCTCGCTCATATATGAATAACATAAATACGATATATTATTAAGAGTAATGATACTATGAGACTTTCCCACATCTATGTGAGTAGGATTTTAAATGATCACCATCAAAATTTGACAATAATCTTATTAATAAACCCATTCGTTTAAGTTTTACATCCATGTGATAATTTTTCTAGAGTTCTGTATCAATTTAATGGTGATCTTTTGGGGTCCTATTCACATGGGTGCGGAAGGGTCTTATGGTGTCATTATTCTATTATTAATTAAAGAAAAAAGTTTATATAATCAATCTTATATTGTAGAAGTAAAGTGCTCGTCAGAAACCCATCGAAAAAGGTTGGTTTGCTTCTGGAAAGTTTTCCAATTAATCATCTTGACCTCGATGTATATGAGAAAAAAAGTTCGAATTTTCTATCTTTAAGATCGAAAATGTGTGTACATTTTTTTGAAGGTCCATTTTCAAGATTTTTGAGTGAGACATGTTAGATTTGCACTATTTTTGGAGCTGCGCTTTCATTATAGAGGTGAAAAATAGACTTTTAGGTCGTGATAAGAGTTTCGGCACTAAAAATATATCTTTAATGTGATTTTAAGGTACACTTCAGCGTGATTGTTTAAGATTGACACCTTATACAAACCTCACCTGTAATTAAATAATTATAATCTGTAACGTTCATATATAAATATTAATGGGATGACTATTAATGGGATGACTATTAATTGAAAAATAGTATTAATAACTAATATTAACACAAAATAATTAATTAATTATGCTATCTTTTAATGGATAAGTTCAGGTGCAATACCCAAGATTTACAATATGATTAGGATAAATATATCCTATTATTAATAAATATATAATCCAACTAAATTCATATCATAATAAGAGTTATAAATACTTACAAAAATTTGGATAATTTCAATTGTTTTGACTGATCTTAGCAATTGATTCCAAAAAACGATTATATTACGCAACAATTATCAATAATGCTCTTCCAAAAGAACATAGGATGGGTTACAAACTATTTACACTAAAATAAATGTCAAAAACACAGGTTCACAAGTCGAAGAGCAAAATGATTCTTCTCAATGATTTTAGAAAGGACAATTGTTTCATGCAGGTTGGATCGCATTTGTACATTATGTGGTCTAGAAGTATAAAGCATCTATCTTAAAGATGGATGCAAATAGGTAGTCCATCTTAAAACAATTGTAACTAATAGTTCAAATGTTTTTTTTAATATAATTATTATTTTTACTTTTCAAAATTTATTAATGTTTTCATATTTATGATCTCTATGTTAAAGATTATATATTCTTTAAAAATTAGGATCGAATTAGATTTTAAAAATATATTTATTGCCAAGCCCACATTTGTACATGTGCGGGCTTGGCCGCATGCTAACCATGTCCTCTTAGAAATTCGAGATCCTAGTTTAATTATTTTAATCTCAGGATTTATAACTGATACTAAAAAAGCACTACACTTTTGAGAATCCTAAAGATGACTTCTTACAAAACCATACTTGATATGTAATATAGCCTACATTCTTACATGGTAATCTACAAGTAATGAAACATCCTGAAAGTAAGGCTTCACTCCAAAGGGATGGAATTGATAATCACTAGATTTAACGTTTCTAAGAAATTTATACTTTCCACTCGGCTAAAACAAGTTGTTAAGAGTATAAGGAGGGGTTTTGTTGAATAATCCCATTGTTGTCTTTAAAATTTAGAAAATTCATTTTCACAAATACTCTCCACCTATATTGCATATTGATTTTAATATCCTATCAAGGTAATTTTCAACTTCTACCTTAGAAATTTTCAAGTTTTCAAAAGCTTCACTTTCACATATAAATAAAGACATAAGTACAATAGAGAGGTCAGAAACAAAAGTTAATAAATACCTTTTACCACATCCGATAAGAACATTATTCAAGTCACAAAGAACTCTTTGTTGGCTTGTATCCACATTTCAATTTTGGAAGCTCACCATAATTGGATATTAAGCCTAGCTTAACCTTAGACTTAACAGAGGCATAATTTAAGAGTGCGTAGCTTAGCAGATGCATACTGTGCGACAACTTCCTTGGACAAAAGTGAAACTTGGGAGGATTTGTAATCCACAATTTTGTGATCCATCAAAGTATCATCATATGTTTATTTTTGTGGAAAGAAGCTTGGATTTTAGATCATTCCCTTCGAGAATCCTTCTTGTTCAATCTTCGGATATGAATTTTTTTGAAATGCATAAAGAGTCTTAATTTTTTAGTTTTTTCTTAGAGGTTGGTTGTTAGGTTCTAGAGGCTGCATCCCCAAATCCCCAAAAAACAATATTGCTTATACGAGTTTTATCCCAAGGGAGCAAATGCCGGAGCGGGAATCTTTTCTCTACTTTAAATACCTTAATCTAACATGCCATAATGAATAGCAGTCTCAATATAAGCAAGATAATTAATTTGATTGATCGTTTCAAGTTTGAAATCTCATCACAAAAGGACCATTTTCCAACAAATATGCCATTCTTGGTCAATATGATCTTGTCAAATTCAATGACTATATTAAACCACATATTTAAGGAGATCCTGAGCACCATGTTATTTTTTATATCTTACATAATAGATATTTTCATCAAATCAAATTTTAGTTCCACCGTACCTTTTTTTCATAACTTTTTTTTATTAAATGTCTGGGTTGGGGTCGACCCAATTCAAACCTGATCCTTTTGCAGCCCTGTTAGATATATCATATTGGGTATCTTTCAAGCTCTACCTTACCTTTATCAAACACTCAACGAGGTTACCCGAACCCACAGTTTCAAAGGTTTTAAAGGGAATATTGTTATTTGAATGAATGTTAGCACTCTCTTTTTCAAACGTATTCACTTCAGTGAATTTTTTGTTTCATTCATATTTGCTTGATTTTGAGGTGTTTGATACCACTTTCAACGGCAATACTCTATAGAACATTACCCATGTTTACCATAAATATAATATCTTTCTTTTTCTTTTTTAGGTAATTCAATAGAGAAGACATGCCTTATCCATTTTTTCAATAGATTAGGGAGTTACATTTTGAAAGTGTTAATTGAGGGTGTGTATCAGTAGGATGGGGATGCTACCACCACGGCCCCACTGCCTTACCTAAAAACTTGATAAGTCATTGGGGATTTGTGCCTAGCTTTTGGTCAGAATGGAGTTAGAGGCCTCATTATGGAGCTCAGCAATACTACCACCAAAGCCCCAAGCCATTCTCAATATCTTATGTTTCTTTTCATTTGCAACAGCAGGAAAGAATTAATTCCTTTGTGCTCCACAAAACATAACTTAGGCTGATAGAAACGGATTCCTCTTTCCTCTCTCAAAATCTCTTCTCATTTTATTCTAACATTGAAGTTAAACAAAATTAATGTTGAATTTGTTATGTTTTTATCTTTTTTCATCCTTATATCGAAACTGTATTCAACTTCTTAATTTTGCGGAATATAGGATGAGCCATATACTTGATTGAGTATATACTTATTTTCAATGAATCCAATTTGGTTGAAATAAAAAATATTTCATACCTGATTCTTTTGATGGGTACTTGGTTTCCACATGATCCAAAGCTGCCTTGCTAAACTGACCAAGGCGTACATATCATACATTGAATACATTATTCTATTGAGGATATATGTCACTTGCATATGCATTCATCTTCTATCCACTTTTAGCACTGCTCAAATGATTCTCCTTTAATAGATGGTGGTACCTCTGGCATTTAATTCATGGTTATGATAGATGTTATGGTTGACCCCAGTGTTCGTGGTTCATTACAAGAAAAGGTTAAAAATATTAAAAAAAAAGAAAAAAATACTTAAAAATTAGCAAAAACTAAAAGAAGTAATGGAAATCATTAAAAAGACTATAAGGGATAAAGGATGAAAAAATATATAAAGTATAGAATATTGAAAATTTGATTTATGCCATGAATAGTTCAAAAAAATTAAAAAGAAAATATAAAATTGGACGATGAGATAAGAAAAGTCCCCTAATGGTTTAAAAAACTATTCAAAATCTTCTAAAAGCATATTTCTAAATATTTTATTTTTTTATCTTAAATATTGTTTTTACATACTTTTTGGAGCCTGGCTAGTTGGGAAACCCAACTCGTCTCAACCAAAGTCGAGTCCAAGTGGACTAGGCTGAGTCTTAAGACACTGGTACATATTATAAATGATTAATGAAAATAGTACCGAGATAACATTAGAAAAATAAAAATAAAAA